ACCTGTAAGTACCAGCTTGCCCGTCACCCCAGCACCATCTCCCCAGGCCTATTCCCGCTCTGCAGGAGCCACCAGCCAACACTCGCCCCAGCTTTTCATGGCCCAAACAGGGCAAAGCAGGGTGCCAACCAACTCTTGCTTGAGGTAGAAACGAACCTTGATTGCTGCGAGCCAGCTCGTTGCAGCCTTGCTGCCGGCAGCATTTCTCCTCCGTCAGCGGCTCAGCGCTGCTCAGGTTTCCCTGTAACCTTTGGTGGGAGCCGACATGCATCCCTGCGGGTTATTTATATGCCCAGCGGGACCAGGGCGCGCGTGACGCCGCGACTCCTGACACCGGGGCAGCGCGATGGACGTCGGTGGAGGGGGATGGCACTGGGAGAGCCCCGTCCCATCTGAAAGCCACCCTCTCCAGGGACAGCCTTTCCTCCTCTTGCCTGATGTTTTGCAGCAATATAGAGGCATTTTCACCCTTTTTTATTAACAAGGCGGCTTGTCATTTTGTGCAATGGGTGCCCTGGGGCTGTTAAGGGGCAGCAACCCCCGGGGTGATCCTCCCTAAGGGCTCGGGGCCGGTTTGCCGTTGCAGCTCAGCCGCTGCCTGCCTCTGTTTTCTCTCCCGCGCGCAGGATGAAGAGAGGCGAGCTCTTCGACTACCTCACCGAGAAAGTCACCTTGAGCGAGAAGGAAACCAGGTAGATGGCTGAAAATCATATTGCAAAAGCAGAGCGCGGGTTCGAAGGACGACCTTGCAGCCGGCACGGCACCCACAGCCAAAACTGCACCCCGGGCTGTGTCCCTGCGCTCATAGGGGCTGAGCTGCATGGTCCTGGTCCCTGTCCCCGTCCCCATCCCCGGGAGCGCGGTGCCGGTGGGCGTTTGGGCTAGGAGAGTTGCTGTCACCCATCCCCAGGAAGATCATGCGCGCGCTGTTGGAGGTGATCCAGTACCTCCACTCCATCAACATCGTCCACCGGGACCTGAAGCCGGAGAACATCCTCTTGGATGACAACATGAACATCAAGCTGACGGACTTCGGCTTCTCCTGCCAGCTGCGCGAGAACGAGAAGCTCAAAGGTAGGAGGATGGCGAGGCGGGGGCGATGCCACCCCGTTGTTGCAGTGCCCACGGGGAGTCGGTGGAGTCTCTCCAGTCCCACCGTCCCCTTGGGGCCGGTCTCGCTGCTGCGGGTGCAAATTGGTGCCTGTCGGCTTGGGGTGCCCTCCTGCTTGCACACGAGCCCGGCTCTGCCTGCGGCACGGCCTCCACACCTCACTCCTCGCCAGGAAGGAGTCGCTGCCCATTAGGAAAACCATCCTGTTCTTTCCCCTTTTTTCCCCTCCAGTTGACCCTCGTTACCCCATCCATTTACTGCCCAACATTAAGGTTTTTTCCCACTCCTTCCCTGGGAAGAGCCACGTAACCAACAACGGGCATCCCCGCCGGCATCCCCATCGCTCTCTTCACTCACATTTTAGCCATTCTAATCCACCGAGAAGAGTCACCAGCGAGATGCGCACAAGTTGCAGTTACTCCCTGCGAGCACCATCGCTGCAAAGATCCCACCTGGGATCCAGCCCCCCCTGCTTGGGGGTGGGTCGGGGGACGGCACAAACCCTCCCGGGTGGCTCAGGGGGATGCTCTGCCCCATCTTTGCAGAGATCTGCGGCACGCCTGGCTACCTGGCCCCCGAGATCCTGCAGTGCTCCATGGACGACGAGCACCAAGGCTACGGGAAGGAGGTCGATATGTGAGTGAGACGCCTGCCTTCCCGCCTCACCCCTCGGGCTGCTCCCAAAACACCCATGGTTTGAGGCACAGCAAGAGTCGTGCAGATGGGCACCAGTTTGAGTGGTTGGAAGGAATTAAATGATGCACCGAAAAACGCCCTCGGGGGCCGTGAGGGGCTGTCCTGGGGACCAGCGGGCTCTGGCACAGAGCTGGGGGAGAAGCAGCCTGGGGACGAGCCCGTCTCCCCGCTTTGCCCCATCAGGGATGGGGGGGAAGCAATATTTTCTGCTCATAAAAATCAACTCAGGGGCTGGAATCCAAGACACAGGGCTTTTTAAACACACCCCATAGTGAGACGCAAGCCTGAGGCAGCTCCCAAGAGAGCAGCCAGCTCAGGAAAGCCTGTCAGAGCCCGGTCTGAGCCCTGCGGGGACTTTGCCACCATTTCTGGTGGCTTTCAGCTCAGGTCTGCAGTGGTCAGAGCTGTAACTAACCACTTGAGACACACCAGGGCATTTCAGCCCCTTCTCAGTTTAAATA